TCCAACCTCAACCTCCCCTGGTGCAAATTGAGGCCTTTTCCTCTAGTCCTAGTTACCTGTGAGAAGAGGTTGACCCCCAGCCTTCCCACAACTTTCTTTCAGCTAGTTGTAGAGAGCAATAAGGTCTCCCCTGAGCCTCCTCTTCTCCAAACTAAACAATCCCAGTTCCCTCAGCCGCTCCTCAGAGGGCTTGTGTTCCAGGCCCTTCACCAGCTGCATAGCCCTTCTCTGGGCAGGTTCCAGAGCCTCAGTGTCCTTCTTGTGCTGAAGGGCCCAAAACTGAACACAGTACTCAAGATACAGCCTCACCAGAGTAGAGAACAAGGACACAAACACCACTCTGGTCCTGCTGGCTACACTATTCCCAATACAAGCCAGGATGCCATCGGCCTTCTTGGCCACCTGGGCACACGTGTGGCTGACTCATGTTCAGGAAAGCATCAATCAGTACTCCCATAATCTTTTTCCTCTACACAGCTTTCTGGACACTCTCTCCCAAGCCTGTAGCACTGCATGGGGTTGTTACGACCTAAGTGAAGGACATGGCACTTATTAATGTTGAACCTCATCCCACTGGCCTCTGCCCATCAACCCATCCTGTACAGGTCCCTCTGCAGGGTCTTCCTACCCTCCAGCAGATCGACACTCTCCCCCAACTTGGTGGCATTTGTAGCTAACTAAGGATTCAATCAATTCCCTCATCCAAATCATCAATGGAAATATTAAAAAGATGAACCCCAACAACAACCCCTGGGGAACACCACTAGGGACTGATCACCAGCTGGATTTCACTCCATTCACCACTACTTTCTGGGCCCAACTGTCCAGCCAGTTTTTAACCCAGCAAAGAGTGTACCTGTCCAAGCCATGGGCTGTCAGCTTCTCCAGGTGAATACTGTGGAAAAACAAGTCAAAGGCTTTGCTGAAATCTAGGTAGACTACATGAACAGCCTTTTGCTCATACACCAGGCAGGTCACCTGATCATAGAAGGAGATGTGGTTCGTCAGGCAGGGCTTGCCTTTCATGAGCCCATGCTGACTGGGCCTGATCCCATGGTTATCTAGCATATGCTGTGTGAATGCATTCAAGATGACCTATTCCATCACCTTTCCTGGCTCTGAGGTCAAGCTGACAGGCCTATAGTTCCCTGGGTCCTCCTTGCAACCCTTCTTATATATAGGCATCAAGTCATTTGGGACCTCTCCAAATGATCATGATTGCTGATAGGTGATGGAAAGCAAACCAGCAATCACATCTGCCAACTCCCTCAGCACCCCCCTGTAGATCCCATTTGGCCCCATAGACCTGTGATAGTCCAGGTGGAGCAACAGGTCTAACTGGTTCCACCTGAACTGTGGGGAGTTTCTTCTGCTCCTTGTGCCAGACTTCCAGATCAGGAGGCTGAGTACCCCGAGGATAAGTGGTCTGGCTAGTAAAGACAGATGCAGAGAAGGCATTAAGAACCTCAGCAGGCATATTCCTTTCTGTGTCTAGTAAAGAATGGAAGTTCTCCTTGGCCCTCCTCTTGTCATTAATATATTTAATACATTTTTTATTATCCTTAACCATAGTGGCCAGGTTGAGCTCGTACTGGGCTTTGTCCTTCCTGTTTTCTTCTCTGCACATGCTGCCAACTTCCTTGTACTCTCCCTGAGTTGCCTGCCCCTTTTTCCACCAGACATAAACTCTCTTTCTCTTGGACACTCAGCAAAAGTTCTCTGTTCAGCCATGCCAGTCTTCTTCCCCACCAGCCCATCTTACGGCACATGGGGACAGCCTGCTCCTGTGTCTCTAAAACTTCCTTCTTGTGGAGCGTCCAGCCTTCCTGGATCCCTCTTCCTTCAGGAGTCACTCTCAAGGGACCCTCCCTACCAATGTCCTGACCAATTCAAAGTCTGCCCTCTGGAAGTCCAATTTAGCAGTTTTACTGACCCCCCTCCTGACTTCACCAAGAATAGAGAACTCTACCATGTCATGGTCACTTTCCCAAGACAACTCACTACTACATCTCCCAACAGTCCTTCTCTGTTCAGAACACCCTTGATCCTTATCCACAGGGACTCTACCTTATCATTCCCAACCCCAAGCTCAACAGCATCAAAACACTCTCTAATATAGAGATCCATGTCACCATCCCTCCTTAGTTGCTTGTCCCCTCTGAAGAGCTTGCAGCCATCCATTGCAGCACTCCAGTCATGGGAGTGGTTCCACCATGCTTCAGTGATGGTCATAGTTTGTCTGCATTGGTTTCCATAGTTTGCCATTTGCAGCATAGTCTGCTGCAATGGCTTCCAGCTCCTCCTGTTTGTTGCGCATACTGCATGCGTTGGTGTAGATGCACTTGAGTTGAGCCATTGCACTCACTCTCAACCCTAGGACTGCCCCCCCAGGCTCATCTCTAATAAAGCTTCATTTGTAGTACATCCACTTAAAAGGCAAAGCACTGTGTAGGAAGCCAGATCTGGAAGATTCTGGGAATGCACTAGAACTATGGGAGATGTTCTCTGGAGCTATCTTCCAGCAAAGCACTGCAATGTGCTGACTATTCTACTTCACACAAAACCAGTCATACAAGATGTACAAGAGCTAGGTTCAAATCTTTTTGTAGTGAGATTTGATTGTCATCTCTCCTTTCTTGGAGAGTTCCCTGCTATCAGGTTATAGTGTTTTCAGAGTCATATATCTTCCTAAAGACCACAAAACTTGCCTGGAAAAAAAGCAAAACAAGCCACACACACAGACCAAACCAAACAAAAACAAACAAAACAAACAAACAGAGAAACTCTAACCTGATTAAAAAGAGAGAGAAAGACCTTATGTGAACTTCATCTTGTCATTTCAGCAAGAAAAAGGGAGAGGTAGGTTTCCATTACTAACAATGTCACTGTTTTACATAAAGTAGAAAAATGTTAGTGTAACATAAAGATTAGCAATCAGTAACACTCCCTGGTCTGTAGACTGCAATACTTTGAAGGGAGGTACATGATATTGTTCACATTTTTTTACATATGGATGAAATTAGTCAGGTTTTCATTACTTTGTGTTATTTCCCTCCTGCTTAGAGAGGAGCTGCTACCAGTGGTATACTGCAAAAACTGAGTGTTTGATGTTACAGAGCAGTACAAATATGTGTTATCTCCATATTTACTAGATCGACATGTAATTGAATCCCATTTTCTGACACCTTAACCAGTTATGCAGGGTTTAACAGCTCATTTCCACACCTGGAGATGGGAATGTTTTGCAGATCTTTATAAGCATATCACAGTAATATTGTGGGAAAATCATCAGTAGACTCTTGTGAGATTTAGGCATTGTATGTAATACTTAAGTAAAATATGGCAATATTTCGATAATGTATGGGTTTGTTTATTTATTTTCCTATTAATGAAGATGAAGCCTGGAACTTGGCTAAGGTAATACATTCTAGTGGTTTGCAGATATCCTACTAAAATTTTCTGAAATTGAAAATTTCAGCAAGAGCTGTGCCAGCACTGCTCTGCAATAGACAAAACACTGGTGTGATATCAATGTTGTTCTAGCTATAAGTGCAGAGCACAGAACTGTATGGGCAAAAAAAGGTAAGTATGTGCAATAGACAGTGATAATCAAGGGAGCTTAATTTATCCATTCTCAGTTGGTTGAAATTTACATGAATCACACATACCTTTTGGAGAAAGTGAAATGTTACTTCTGAGGTTTGAATCACACTTAAGAAAGATGAGTTTACCTCAAGTCAGTGAGGTAAGTGAACTTAAGAAAGTGAGGTGAAGCAGAGGCAGACAGACATAAATACCATTCAGAGAGCCTGAATGGCGGAAGAGGCAGTGGGGTAATTATTTATATTTTGTCCTACCAAATTGCACTGTATTTTCACTGTTTTGTAAACATTTATTTTTTTTCCCCAGCTTCTAGTTACAAACCTTCCTTAAAGCTTGAAAGCCAATTTAGGTCTTTCTTAGGGTCTTGTGGTCTATTTTCTCAGGTGGCAAATAATAGGATGTAAGGAAATCATCTTAAGTTGCACCAAAGAGGTTTAGAATGGATATAAAGAACCATTTCTTCACAGAGAGGGTGAGAGATGGTGGTTTCTTCATAGAGAGGGAGGTTTAGTTGCTCTGGGCTGCCCAGGGAAATGGTGGAGTCTCGATACCCAGAGGTACTTAAGACTTCCAAGAGCTCCTTTCCTCTCTAAGTCAGAGCCGTTATTCAATCGTAGCCTGGATCTTTTAATGTATTGGAATAATGAATTTACTGAATGCAATACAACGGAATTGGTCATTTAACAGCACATGCTTCACAGTATTAATCATAAAGAATAATATGTTTCCATGCAATGCTGGACGGATATATATTTTTTTCACAGTTCAATCACTTGTTACTGAAATACATACTATAAATTTACAGCACTGTTCTACTGAAATATTTATGAAGTCTAAAGCACAACCCTATACTTATCTTCTATCCTGAGAATAGTCTCATGATTTTGTATGCTTCAGTTGTGAAAGAGGAAGGTTAGGTGTGTCTTCAAAGATGTCTCACTCAGAAATACTTAGCATGATAATTATTTTGATTTGTTCCCAAATAACATGTTTAAGAACAAAGAAGATTAACTAGTCTGATTGGAAAAATAAAAATGGTAATGTCTTCCCAGTGGTCTATCTGATCCCCTTGTGTATTCAGCTTTATAGCTGCTAGCTTAGTGAGCAACTTCAACTCATCATTCTGTTTGTCGTGTCAGTGGCATCAAAATACTTGTAGAAAAGTTAATTGTATACTATTTTGGCCATATCATCGTCAGGATTGTTGACTAAATTTTGTGTAGAACATTTAGTGTTTGGATATACACTGAACAAAATTCAGCTTGACTGACTGACTACAGGCTACAAATAGACAGATTTTTGAGACATCTGATAGATCTACCATTGCGCATAGGCCAAGTCAGAACCTTTGGATATGATCCATGCTTTGCTCAATTTTGGTCACCTGTACCACTTACCTTCTGAAGTACCTTCTGAAGTATCTTCTTAATTTAAGGTACATTTTAGGTTCATTTAAGAGACGTTTAAGATGGGCCCATGATGAAGATGACTTGCTGTCTGGAATTCCTTTGTACTGCTCTTTAGGTGCTCTCCTGAAGATCCATGGCCTTCTGTAGTCTCTGGGCATCTATCACTGATACTATAATCAAACTGGAAGTAGTAGGATGGATTGAGGTACAGCAAACTTTAGTTTAAAAACTAAACCAGCAAAACTTTAGTTTAAAGCCCTCTTTGCCAGCTTGGCAAGCCTATTACTGAAGATGTTCTTCCCCTTCTCTGACAGGTGGACCCCATCAGTCAGTCCCCAGCAGACCAGGTTTCTCAAAATGAGTCACATGGTCTAAGTAGCAGAACCCTTTTCTCTGTCACCAGTCCATAACCACCTGTTGATTTGCCTGATTCAACTGGCCCTTTCAATCCCCTTCCCTTACTGGGAGGACTGATAAAAAAAATACCTGCACTCCTGAGTCCTTTACTGCTGCTCCTAGGGCTCTACAATCCCTCTTGATGCTCCTCCCTCTCTAATTCTCCTCTTCAAGAAGCTGTAGAGAGCATCACCCATCAACATCCTTTTCTCCAACTTTAAGAATCCCAGTGTCCTCAGCTGCCTTGAGGAAATGCCTTCCAGCCCTTTTATCAGCTTTGTTGCCCTCTGCTGTATGCATTCCAGTATTGCAACATCCTTTTAAAATTGTAGGGAGCAGAACTGCATAGAATATTGAAGGTGAGGCTATACCAATGCTAAATACAGCGGAATAATCACCTCTTTTGACTGACTGGCTGTTTTTTTTTAAATGCTTATCAGAAAATTGTTTACCCTCTTGACTGCCAGGGTGCACCGATGGCGCATGTTGAGCCTGGTGTCAGCCAACAACGCCAGGTTCCTTTCTACAGCCACTCATCTCCTAATCTGTACTTAATCTGTATTAATCTGTATTTAAATCTGGCATTATGTCAACTGCTCCAAGCAACTGCCTGAGCTAACTTAACTGACAGGCTTTTTTTTGCAGTCAGCAGTACTATGATGGTCTTTGATGTAATAGGTAGTTCATGATAGAAACTGCAATACTAATATACTGTTTAGTATAGAAGTTCCTTGTATGCTCTGTGAGAAAAGAGCAGGGAAGAGACAGGTGCAGTACTTTTGGAAGATTCCACCTGTCTTTATCTTGGCTGATATATATCTATACACACAGATGTGGTATGCTTTTCTTATTTCCTTTGTCTCCAAACTGTCTACCTACATAAAATAACGAATTAGTTTCACGGTCTATGCTTGAATTGAGTTTGGACATCTGAGCTCTGAACATCTTCTGAGATTATAAATTGTAGTACTGTGATTGCTGATGAATTCAGCTGAATGGATTCAGGATAGTAGGAAGATTATCATTTCCTTCTGTTTTTCTGAGCTAGAGTAAGAAGAAAACTGTAGCCAAACTTCCCTGCATTCTGCTGAATTTGGTACAAAAAGTGCAACTGATGGCAAAAGGTTTGAATGAGCTTTTAATTTAACCAGAGCAGGTTAGCTATCTCTGACAGAAAACCTTTCAAGTACTGACTAATACAAACACCAAAGAGAGAGAGAATTCTATTAAGCAGGGTCCTATAGATTCATGTAGGCAAATATTTTTTTCTCCTTACTTGAATGTGCTTATGTGTTGGGTCTGTCTGAGCTGGAGTCACCTTTTCCCTGCAGCAGCCCGCACAGTGCTGTGCTCTGCACTCGTAGCTGGAACAGCACTGATATCACTCCAGTGTTGTGTCTATTGCTGCGTAGTGCTGGCACAGCATCAGGACTCCTTCCAAGCCCCTAAGAGCCAGCAGGCTGGGGGTGGGCAAGTGATGGGGAGGGGACATTGCCGGGGCAGCTGACCTAAACCAACCAAAGGGATATTCCATAACACCTGATGTCACACTCAGCAATAAAAGGGGGGCTATTGTGGGGGAGGGAGCTCTTCCTCCTGAACAACCACTACGCGTTTGAGGCCCTGCTTCGCAGGACGTGGCCGAACACCGCTCGCTGATGGGAAGTAGAGAATAATTTTTTTCTCTCTCTGTGCTTCCGCGCGGACTGATTGTTTATTTTTTTTTCTGTTTTTCCTCCCCATTCCCTTTCTCTTTAATTAAACCTTTCTCATCTCAAACCTCGAGTTCTCTGTGTTGTATTTTCTCCCCCTTCCTCTTTGAGGAGAGGGTGAGTGAGAGAGCGGTTGTGGTGGAGCCTAGCTGCCCACCTGAGTAAAACCACCACATGACTTCAACTAATTCTAAGAACTCAAACTAGGTAGCTTACATTTGGTCTTTTCCTACATTATAATGGTTTTTGAACTTTTCTTTCTAATGTATGACAGAGCAATGGTTTTAGTATGCAGTTACTGTAAATGGAGACATGTATTTTGCTTTTTAGGCCTCTAGCAGAACTTTCTTTTTACACAGAAGCTCACCAATTGAATGTTAAGATCATGCTTGGTAATTCTGAAACACATAGTGAATTTCCAGTGTCTGTAAATGTCTGTTTAACAAGTATTTAATATTCAGGCAAAGAGCTTGGATTCTATACCTACAGTTATACTTGGAGCCTGAATGATTTATTAGTGAGGTCCAGTGACATTCAATACCTTTATTTATTTATTTATTTATTTATTAAGAATGTTGCAATCTACTGTTATGAGATTTTCCATTATTTGCACAGTTAGATTTCAAAATGTTAAAAAAAAAAAAACACTTAAATTTCATATATTTCTATGATTCTCTTATTGAAACCTTAAACATATTAATGAAAAATAAAATAATTTCAGTTGTTTAGCATTGAAATTATCAACTATTTTTCAGTATTTCTGTATGCAGTTTTAACAACTCCATAGTTTTTACATTATTTTTCTGTAGGTCAAAACTTATCTTGTAAACACATTAAATTCTTTGATACACTGCTTCAACAATTAAATAGTTCTTCAAATCTGGGACAGACACGCAATTTTCTGATTTTATATTATTTTCTGTTTTAAATTCTTGTCCCTTCTTTTTCTTTTCTTAACATTCCAAATAAAATTAAGGGGTGAGACTGTCCCAGGTCCAAATTAGAACAAGCACAGAGTTACTTGGAGCTATGCTCATAAAAATTTCCTCTTCCCTATTTAAATAATTGTTTCCAACAGTTTTGATTAGGTTTGCCTTTTAGTCAAAGGCAAAAACTTTATAAGAAGAATGTAATGGATATAGTCCTTGATCACTTTTCCCAATACAGTATCTTCACCTCAGCCTTATGCTTCCAAACCTGCACACCTCCTTTACTCTTCTTCTTCTTTTCCATAGGTTTTATTACAGTCTCCCATTTCCTTATTGTAGTGGGTTTACGTGGCAAGGTTTTGGTAGCAGAGGGCCATAGGGCTGGTTTCTGATAGAAGGATCTAGAAGCTGACCCATGTTTGATAAGAGACCCACTGCTGACCAGAGCTGGGCCAATAAGCCATGTTGTTTTGCGCCTCTGTGAGAGCATATTTAAGACAGGGAAAAAAAACCCTGTGCCACACAGCAGCTGGGAGAGTGAAGGGAGTGAGGAACAGCCTTGCAGGTGCAAAAGTCAGTGAAGAAGGAGGAGGAGAGGTGCTCCAGGCGCCGGAGCAGAAGTCTCCTGAGGCCTGTGGTGAGAACCATGGTGAAGCAGGCTGTGCCCCTGCAGCCCATGGAGTACCATGGTGGAGCAGGGTTCCACACTGCAGCCTGTGGAACCACAGTGGAGCAGGTGGACCTGCACCAACGGAGGCTGCCGCCTGTGGAAGACCCCTGCTGGACCAGATTCTGGGCCGGACCTGTAGCCCGTGGAGAGGAGACCACGCAGGAGCAGGTGACCTGGCAGGAGCTGCTGCCCATGGGGGAGCCACGTTGGAGCACTTTTTTCCTGAGGGATGGACCCTGTGGTACAGACCCATATCTGGAGCAGTTCTTGAAGAGCTGCTGCCTGTGGGAAGCCCACACCGGATCAGTTAATCAAGGACTGTATCCCGTGGGAGGGACAACAAAGCACATGGGACGAGAGTGACCGAGAAGGAGCGGCAGAGAAGAAGCGCTGTAGACTGTCCATAACTCCATTCCCCCATTCCCCTGCACTGCTTGGGGGGAGGAGGTGGAAGAGGGTGGATGTGGGGGGAAGGTGCTTTTGGTTTCTTTCCTTTGTTTCTCACTTCTCTAGCTTGTTAGCAATGAGCAATAAATCTTACTATCTCCTTATGCCGAGTCTGTTTTGCCTGTTACAATAATTACTGCGTGATTTTCTCGTCCTTATCTCAACCTTTGAGCCCTTTTCACATATTTTCTCCCCATTCCTCTTGAAGGAGGGGGAGTGAGAGAGCAGCTGTGGTGAAGCTCGGCTGCCCACTCGAGCGGAACCATGACACTTATGTAGATGTATTTAGCATTCCATTTAGCATGTAACTGAATCATATCCTAATACTCAAAATAACTGGGTGGATGAGGGAGAGGCTGTGGGTGTGGTCTACCTTGACCTCAGCAAGGCTTTTGACACCGTCTCCCACAGCATTCTCCTCAAGAAACTGGCTGCTCTTGACTTGGACTGGCGCACGCTTCGTTGGGTTAGAAACTGGCTGGATAGCCGGGCCCAAAGAGTCGTGGTAAATGGAGTCAAGTCCAGTTGGAGGCCAGTCGCTAGTGGCATTCCCCAGGGCTCGGTGCTGGGGCTGGTCCTCTTTAATATCTTCATCGATGATCTGGATGAGGGCATTGACTGCACCCTCAGTAAGTTTGCAGATGACACCAAGCTAGGTACGTGTGTCGATCTGCTCGAGGGTAGGAAGGCTCTGCAGGAGGATCTGGATAGGCTGCACCGATGGGCTGAGGTCAACTGCATGAAGTTCAACAAGGCCAAGTGCCGGGTCCTGCACCTGGGGTGCAATAATGCCAAGCAGAGCTACAGGCTGTGAGATCAGTGGTTGGAGAGCTGCCAGGCAGAGAAGGACCTGGGAGTGATGGTGGACAGTCGGCTGAATATGAGCCAGCAGTGTGCTCAGGTGGCCAAGAAGGCCAATGGCATCCTGGCTTGTATCAGAACCAGTGTGGCCAGCAGGCCTAGGGAGGTGATCGTCCCCCTGTACTCGGCTCTGGTGAGGCCTCGAGTACTGTGTTCAGTTTTGGGCCCCTCAATAAAAGAAGGACATCGAGGTGCTTGAGCAGGTCCAAAGAAGGGCGACGAAGCTGGTGAGGGGCCTGGAGAACAAGTCCTACGAGGAGCGGCTGAGGGAGCTGGGCTTGTTCAGCCTGGAGAAAAGGAGGCTCAGGGGCGACCTTATTGCTCTCTACAGATACCTTAAAGGAGGCTGTAGTGAGGTGGGGGTTGGCCTGTTCTCCCACCTGCCTCGTGACAGGACGAGGGGGAATGGGCTAAAGTTGCGCCAGGGGAGTTTTAGGTTAGATGTTAGGAAGAGCTTCTTTACCGAAAGGGTTGTTAGACATTGGAACGGGCTGCCCAGGGAGGTGGTGGAGTCACCATCCCTGGAAGTCTTTAAAAGACGTTTGGGCCCCTCCCTACCTTCTTATAGCGAGGGGCCCAAAACTGAACACAGTACCCGAGGTGCGGCTTCACC